AAAACCCCACCCAAATAATAGCAAATGCATGGTTTTAGAGCAGAAAGCACCACACAGAGTGCTGACTTTTCACTTCAGACCTCAAGATTTGCTTTGAGCCAGTTTCTTTCCTCCTACTGGATGCTGTATCATAGCAGTGGTAGCAGGGGCTCTTCCTCACTGAGGGAAATGCCCCTGAGAGGCAGCACAATGGTAGTGGTTGCTCCCTGCACCCAGCTAAGTGACATCACTGGGATCACGGGGCACCTGTTGTGGTTTCTAAGGCTGTGGAAGATGTTCTGACCATCAGAGTGATCACTCTGAAAAAATACTCTGGGCCTTTTAGTGAAATTGAAATACTAGCAGAGCAAGTTATCTGAGGGTTACCACTGGCTTTTTGTGGCCAATTTGTAGGGTTTTGTCTCCTGTTGGTGGCTCACAGCCAGTACATGACTAATCACTGATTAGTGATCCCTGCCATGTAGAATTAGTATCTTCCAGACAGCAGGATTTTTAATAGTAAATACCACAGTGCATGATCCTACAGTTCAAACAGGAGGAGGAGGATGACAAGGACAATGCTCTACTCCAATATTGTCATTATTGCTGCATTGCTGGCTTTTGGTATCCACTTTGCAATTGCTGAGGGAACAGGTCAATGGCTGCGCAAGCAGAGGTTCTCCCTTTCACAACGGTTTGGCTTAGTTACTGTTTATGTGACAATTATTGTGCTTATAACTGCAGAGCAAACATAACAAAACAACCTTTCTAACTGTAAAAGCACTGCTTCCTTGTTTGTATGCCACAACATATTGCTGCTAAGCATTCAGATTTGGGTTTGTAATGTTTTGGAGAACTAGTTCTAAATAAACAAAAACAAAGGGAGACTGGCAGCTTTAAGCTGATTGAGTGTCCTTCAGTGATAAAACGTGTTTTATTTAAGAACAGAAAGATTCATTAATGCCTATTTATGATCTATTTTTAGGGTAATTCCATGCAATTACTATTCATATGACTCAAGCACCCAGGCAGAATTTTAGCCAGGCAATAAAAGGATAATTTTGTAATGCCAGAGAGTCTCTAGAGAAGATTTAGAGGAAAATGCAAATCAACTGTTAGTATGATCAAACTGTGCAAGCTAACTCAGTTTCTGTATAACTTAGGAGACATTCACAGTGGAATATCAGACATCAGCCAGCACACGGGTGCAGCACATGGGTGCTGCTGGCTTTGTAACATCTGGGCTCTGTGCAGTTGCAGTGCAGCAAGTGGCTGGAAATGAGCTCACCACTCTCCATTCCCTTTTATACTCCCAGCAATGAAGTATGTGAGAAATACTGATGCCAAGTTTCCCAGGGAGACATCAGACAAAGAGGGATGGAGAGGTGCATATGCTGGCAAACACTCCTAGAAGTGAATGAATACATGTTTATAAAATGCCTTGCTCTCACACACTAAGGATCTTCCTTTCCTGTCCAGTTGAACTTTCAATGAGTCAAAGTCTTATTTTCCTTCTTATCCTAATTCTGCTCCTCCTGACACTCCTGTCCCCCCAGTATCTAAATTTTTTCTCCATCCTTTCTTTCCTCAGCTGGGTGTAGTGTTGCTGTGTAGGGCAGCCTGGGAGGGAGGGCTGGGAAAGGCAGCTGCAGGCACTCTGTAACCTCTGCCAGAGAAGCCCTTCAATACCATGCACTTATCAGATTAATTCTACACTGATTAATTTCCCCAGATTAATTCTAGACTAATTAATAATTTCTGGAAGGCAGTGGAGAGAGTGGTTTTGTCTCCAAATGAGGGCAGTGACAATCAGGATACCTGAGCCAGCCCTAGGGAAATGGCAGGTTAAGACAGGGTATGCAGGAGTACTCTTATCCTTCTGGACGAGCGCTCTGGGGACAGGCAAGATAGTTGAGGATGCCTGATGGCAGCTATTCTTAGACACCTTGGAAAGAGTTCTGGGTTAACACCTCACAAGGGGAAGAAGCCCTGAGTACAGTGAAAAACTATTCCCTGCAATTCAAGATTTACACTTCTGAAAAATCGTTTAAGGCTATGATAGCAGAAAGGAAACAGTCAAGAAACCACCAACCCTGCTTTCATAAAGCATTTATTTTTTTTATTTGAAAACATTATACAGGCATTACATTGCCACAGCCAGTCCATATAGGTGCATGCAAATATCAAAATGGAGAAAGATTTATTCAGCTTCTCAATGCAGGATTTGGGGTTGGGATTTTGTTTGCCTGGTTTTGGTTTTGGTTCATACTTCCATCTGCAGTGTCAAGATTAGTGTGCTTTATTATGGCATTTAACAATAAAATCCTACCCATGGGGTAAAATTTATATTTGTAGCTAGCTCAGGAATACTAAATGGTTTTCAAAAAAAAAAGAAAGAAAGAAAGAAAACGATACTACACGCTTGTCAAAATGTTAATAGCACAAGTTAGCAATCTCTACACTATACATTGAAACTTCTTCTTATGACACAGTGGTGCAAAATTTTTAATTGCTTGGTCTATCGTTGTGTGTTTCGAAACTTTATAGCTGGAACAAAGACCAGGTCTGTCTCCCAGTGAGGGTGTTCATCCGGTATCAGAAAATTACATCAGTCTTGCTAAGGGCTGCCCAGGACCAGCAGTATCAGAGAGTTTCAGTCTGTCCAGGCAAGGAGCTGTGCAGAGCTAGAGACGTCCTACGCAACACGGAGAGTAGCTGCCGTTAGATAGCTGAGCCTTTGCTGGTGCGCACGGAGGGCTCCAACTGCAGAACACAAGCGGGCAGAAGGAATGTTTTCCTCCACTGACCTAGTTTTTCAGTCAACACAGTTATTTGTAAAGCCATACTACTGTTTTCCTTCGAGGTCCATCCAGGACTAGCGCACTGGCGCTAATCCGAGCATCCACCTTGCTCATGGGGAAACACAGACAGTGAAGCAGCCCTGCTTTGCACATCAAACTCCTCCTGCACCAGAAGCACAGGGCATGGTGGCTGGCTGCAGAGCGCTCACTGAAACATTCATAACTTATTCCTGTACAGCAGAGCCTTTTAGAATAGCCTGGTGGCACCTCTCAGCCACCCATGGATCGCAACCCCTCGTAAGGAAAATCTCCCAGCCCCGTGACCCGGCCAGGAGCTGCCTCCTGCCCAGCTGTTTCACAGAAGACTCTAATAAACGTCTACAAGTTAGTGTCAGAAAAATGGGAGGCCGAAGGACTACAAACATTTGGCTTAAAAATAAATACTAATAAGGAAATTAATCAAAACAGTTATGCAAAAGGAAGGAACTGTAAACATGAAACACACACGCACACAATCCTCAAGGTTCTCAGACCAACACGGGGACTAACGCTCAGAGAAAGGTATTTAATTGGTACAAAAGGTAGCAAAAAAGACTGAGATGACAGGTGCCCACCAGTATGCCTCTGGGTACCTGAGTGAGCCATGATTGTAATCAGACCCCTTCTCCTGGGGAATGTATGAAATCCACCTTAAGTCGAAGTTCTCACAGGGTTTGACTCAAGGATCTTGAAGTGTCAGGTAGTTTTTCTTGTGTGTTTTTTATTTTTTTGATTTAGACTTTCCTTAATATCCCCAGAATACAGAGTCTGTTTTTCTGCAGGAATCTAGTGGGGCTTTTTTTGTGTTTTTTTAATCCTCCATAGTTTAAGAAAAAAAGGTTCGGAAACATGAGTGCTAAAAAGATTAAAAAAAAACAGAAGGCAGGGGAAAAAACTATGCACTTGTTAGTTTAGTACCAAGGCATCTCAACCAAAGCTTTTGGGCATGATTTGGAAATACTGCAGAACCTTCCCTTAGGTGCAGCAGGGCTGTGGCAGACAGCCTAAACGCACTGGGAAAGAAATTACCTCTTCTCCATTGTAAGAATAAGACACAGCATACTTCTCCTGTTCAAGAGCATTTTGACATTTGCCACTTCATGTCTGTTATGCATATATAAACTTCTCTCAGTCTGCTTCAGGGAAGTTCCTTCTGTATTAAAGCAGAACAGGACTATAAAAAATGATTGTTACCTCAGCAGAAATTCATCCTGCTTTGTTGAACTGTGTGACCTTTCTAATCTCCAATGTATAGATTGACTTTTTTCTTCTTTTTTATATAGAAATAGGTAAGTTGTATTTTTCAAACATGAAGGCCTACATTTTTGCTTGAAACAGTCTTTTTTCAGCAGAATAACATTCAAATCAAATTCACCTTCTATGCCCACAAGCAAAATATTCATCAACCATGCCATAAACTCCATTTTCAAATACGATGAATGTATACACACTTTTACAGCACTGTTATGTACTTCTTAAACTCCTTCTTTCTGAAGATCCTAAAGCATTCTAAAATAACTTGGTCCCATAGCACCTCTGTGAGGTAGGTAAAATGTCATTATTTCCATATACACTGATTGGAAACTCAGCCACACAGAAGGTAAGTCATGCCCAAGGATTCATGTAAAGATGTGGCAGATTGGTGAATGAAACCAAGATCTCTCCTAGATTCCTCACTTACTGTTAGACACAGGAACACCTCGTCTTTCTTAATTTTAAATTACAAATAGATAAAGGATACTGAAATAATGATTTCCTTGTACTGGGCTCTCAGAAGAGCAAACATACAGACAAAAATGGATTTTTCATGGTGGCGACTAAGATTTTCCCCATTCTAGAAGGTAAGGCTCCTGAGGCAGAAGTACAGTTGTATACAGAAGTGTGGAGCACACCCTTACTATTTTCACACGTCCCCAGGAATGTAAGAAAACTGCTGAATTCTTCTGCTTGCTTCACAGTTAATGAAAAATAATTGGTGCACCCTGCCAGTAAAATGCCTTTGTGCTACTGCGGCAACACCAGCAGATGGTCCAGTCTTTCTGTTCATGAATTCCTCCCTTAATCTTCCTGATTCTTACAATCTGTGGGTTTTGGTGAAAAACTGACACATTTCTAAATAGCTATTGTTAGAATAATGAACCATGGGAGACTAAGCAAACTGGAAGAGCAGAAGGCACCCTCGATGCACTGAGTATCTAAAATAAGTGCCCTGATCCACATGATATGTCATCTTTCCATGGAGAGGTACAATACATAGGAAACTAGAAAATGTATTTTTCTTTCTACAGGTTAAAATTTTAAAAGTAAGAAATCTGTGTTGAGTCATGACTACAGAGAAATTGACTCCCTGTCATCTGATGCAGAACCTTGGCCACTAGAAAATCTGCCATGGATCATAGAGAGGTCAATGCTTGAGTACTTCACTTCTGCAAATATAGAAAGGCTAAAATGCTCGCCTTATACCTATTCCTAGAATAGAGACGGATATTGGAAGTTGTCCCTTCTCTGGATTCATGGATCAGATTACCTAGAAAGGGCAACTAGACAGATAGCACAGAACTCATTGTATTTCCCTCACCAAATCCAAGGTGCTAGCAAAAATGTATCAGGGGGTTGTTACCACGACTAACCCATCTGTTTTGTGCAAACAAACAAATTTTAGAGAGAAATTAACAGTGACTGCACAAAGTGTATTTGCTGTAAAAAGGTACTTTTTCCACAACTGATGTGGCTTAGGCATATGATCACTCTGTGTGTGTAAAACGCCCTTCTATTAATTTCCTTTTTTTTTGTAATTTCATCTTACGTATTGAATATCTTTCACAGGTAGTTTGACATTAACTGATTCCTACACAGCAGCTTGTATTGCAAACATGCTGCTCATGTCGTAAACGAGGGACTGGCATCTCCTTGCAAGGAACACCCTGGAACAATTAATTTGTGTTTGTATGAGCTTTCCTTATTTGCTACCTTGCAGCTCACCAGTGTAACTGCACCTGGTAAATACCTTTCTCTATGTACAATACAGAGATAATGGATATACGAGCTCCACTGTCAATAGGTGATCAACAGCCCTGGGTTTAAGCAACTCTAACGTGAGGCTCCTCTTCTGTCTCCTGCCCCAGGCTGGTGTATGTCACCGAAGGCTCCATCTGGCTGCTGGCTGGCAGGTCTACAACAGGTCCGGAGGGATTTCGGAACTGCTTGTACACCCGAGGATCCTGGGCTACGTAGGTGGATGTGGAGGAGTAGAGCATCAGCCCAACAAGGATCGTGAAGAATGACAACAAGTAAAGTCCTGAAAACTGAGCAGAAATAACAGCAGAGTCATTAGACACAGCACCAATTACCCTGAGTTCATGAAGACCCAAAGACAGGGTTAGGCACAGATCCTTGTTTTGGCATGCGCTGCACAGAACAAACTCCCTGTCATATGGATGTTGAATTTTTATGGGAATTACTCTTTGAAAATTAATTTACTCCCACCAATTCCCCTGTCCTCTGTAACCAAGAGCTAACTAGTGCCTTCCCCTGGCCAGGCATGTTAAGTATTGACTGTCTGGGACTTGGGAAAGCTGAGTTTTGGTCACGGATCCAAAGCTGATTTTTTCATGCTTTTACACAAGCCAGCTACTCCTCCAAGTCCAAGTTTCTCCAGCTCCAGTGTGAGGTACCATCATTTACAATTTTCAGACAGGCAGTGGACAAATCTGAAGACAGTTACAGCTAAACCACGTCTGTGAAGTTAATATGCTGTTAGAAATATAAAAATATAATTAAATAATAATTTCAATAAGAATTATATATTTTTTTTAATAAAGGCACTTAAAAACTACCCTGTCTGCAGTATTTCTTGCTTGTGAATAGAAAGCAGGTGCTAGAAGATCTAATGTGAGTTTGGATAAGATGAACTTCAGCTGTGAAACGTGCTCTAGGTCAACATCATGAGGTTTGAAAGTACACATGGAGGGCAGTTAACTGAAAGCTCAAGTACACATATTTTGGCACACAGCTTCACTAGATCAGAGGTCAGCCTGAATTTTTTGACATATACAGACTTGTGTCTGAACTAAAAATACAACACAAAGAACCTTTCTGGCAACTCGTTAGCCCTTGCAGATAAAGCTAAAGGCAAAGACAGGGTTTCAAAAGCGCAGACCACTGGGTACCAGCTTTAGATACTGGGTTCGGCTACAGGGGACACAAAAATGGCTTTAAGCCCATGTGACTTGTCTGCTGATCCTAGACTACAAGTTATTTCTTCATGCATGCTCTGTGTGTGAGAAACCATGAAGGACAAATTGCACAGCCACCTTGTTGAGGATATAAATGATTTGTATTCAGTGGAACTTCCAGAAGTGCCTGTATTCTGCAGCTGTCAGGAATCTGTACCTGAACACCATCAACTACTTGCAACCTGCTATTAGCTGCTCCATGAGGTACTTCAAGATTTTATGTAAAGGTGTCTGCAAGTCTGTTAATCCTGACTGACTCTGCTTTGATGGATGCCCACTTGTTTCCTCTGGATCACCTTAGCTCAGCACAAAACAGACAGAATGGACTGTATTATCTTGGAATTTTTTGAGCAATTCAGCTTTTTATGCGTAAAGGAATTATCATTGTGGAGAAAACAAATTTTGCTTAAGCTAAATTTGTAGTGATGTTAATTTGTTACTGTTTCATAAACCTACAAAACCTCCATCCAGCCTCCTGCCTGAGGAAGCATTTGGTCTTTTTACAGAACCCTCAGTATCTCTGAAAGCTTTGGACACATCACCCATGCTGATATGTGTGCGTTTCCCACACCCAGCGTGCACGTTCGACAGGGAAAATACCATAATGGGGAAGGTTTTTAAAGAATGTGAGAAGGATTAGAGGGTAGGAAGAATTTTGCTTTTCATCAGCTTTTGTTTTTTTTTACATGTATGCCACCAGGCCCTCATGTGTTGTCTGGCAGCACAATTTGATGAAAACACCCAGCTATCCCAGAGCCACAGAGACACTGCTGAGCCTCACCCAGAGTCTGCTGAAGGACTCCTTCCATGTGACACAGCTCTGATAGGACTGTTTAAGCTTAGATCTCCCCCACGTGGCAATCAAACACAAGTCAATAATTTCAAGCTTCTGGCTGATTTTTCCCCCTCCATTTTCAGTACAATTTTGTTCTCAGCACTTTCTTCCCCTCTTCACTTTGTATTTGAACTTGAGCATCACTTGGCAGCAGTGAAGCTGACTAAGCTTGAGAAAATCTCAGGAGCCAAATGCATCTCGTTTCCCATCTCTAGTTTCCCACTGTCCCTCATTCCCACCTTATGCTTGAATTTCTCACCCCAGCCCGCCAATTGGCTTGGCCCACTGCACAGCCAGAGTGCCAGCCAGGTCTGTGATTGCTTTGTGTCCTGCTGTGAGGAATCTCTGGGGCTTTCAGCAGTTAAATGTGCTTTTTTTCTTGTTCTAGGAGCTGCCCAGACAAAATCAAATCATTTTTGCTTTGGTTCATGGCTCCAGCTCTACCATATCCCCTTTCTCCTGGCCATACCTCTCATTCCTCTCTCAGGGGCTTCCTGCCAGTGGGTTCTTTTGGCTGAAAGTATTCCTTCCATGGTAGTGTCCTCCCTCATGGCAGCTCTCCAGCCTGGGAGAAAGGGTTTGGGCAAGCTTGGGGAAATCTAAACAAAGGTCTGTTTGTCTTTGGCATCTGTGCACAGCTAGCTCAAAGAGATGTGGACTCTGACAGTCCTATGACAATTCCATCCTTTTTTACCTTCCTTAGAAACAAGGTTCAGGCTGAATTCATTTGTGCAGCAGCTCTCTGCAACACTGAAGTAGAAAGGTAGATAGTGAGGTTACTATAGGAATATATACTGAAGTACATGACAAATCTGACAAATCTGTGTTTTTTGTCAATACTCTGTCAAACTGATCTAAACCCCTTTGAAATAAATGGATATTTTCCTCCTATTAAAACAGCAGTGAATCCACCAGTGCAATGGAAAGATGCAGACCTAGTTCCCAAAAACAAAATTTGATGTTCACTGTACTATGCTATTCAGACTTCAGCTGAAACCTGCAATTTATGGAAGATACGATTTCCAGGCATACTCTACTGCTGTGCAGGTTTTGGAGGTTTTTTTAAATATTCCTCTGTAAACCTCATCTACTGAGATTTGCTATTAATAGGCAGGAAAAGAAACACATTTAAAACCAGAGGAAAGAGCCATTCCTAAGAAACGAAGTGAGGGAGGATCACTTTTCATTGCCACTTTATGCAACTGCAGAACCAAAATGTAGGTTCTTGGGAAGTGTGTAATTCCTCTCTCTGCCTAAAAAGCTGCTTAAGAATGATACTGTGCTTCATTTCACTGAATTACCTCTTTCTACAGAAACATATTTCCTCTAAGAAAAAATATTTTTAAAATATCCAGATTTGTATGCCTCTCCAAATCCTTCCCTCCATGCTAAGCAGGATAACTGCCCAAAGAGTTACAAGGTGAAGAGAAACTGGTTAGCTCAAATTAGCTAATGAGTGCCACACATCCTAAGCAGACTAAAAGTCAACTCATGTTTCCATATCATTAAACAGTTTTACTGTGGATTTCATATCTACATTTATAGGTACATATGTATTACATATGTAAACTTGCTCATCCATGAAGTTTATTGAGAGACCAGATGACTTTGCGGTGGGGTCAATGACCTAACATTCTTGAGTCCCTGAATTTGATTTTCAACCTGTAAATTTATTTTGTGAATCAGAATGATTTTAGATGATCCTCAGTTTCTTACCCATTTAAAAGAGATAATTACACTTGGTTACTGAATAAAGACGAGTTTACAGAATAAAAACGGGGAATAGGGATCCTCTGAGGAGAAGGCAGAGAGCTCTTTTTCAGGGAAAGTGCCTTACCTACAATATTTCAGATTTCATCACTGACATGAAAAGCATCTGCCAAAGCTTTTTAAGCAGTCAAATCAAATAGTTAAATCAGCTCTACAGATCTGATCATGTCTGCTCTGCTCTGACATCTGTGTGTCTATAAATGCTTCCTCAATCAATAGTATTTAATACGGATCATACAATGATATTCATAAATGTTAAAAAATTAAGAAAACACAAAAAATATCTTCTCTAGACACCATTTAGTACCTGTGGTAAGAATAGCCTACATTAAACTAACATTACCTTTCAGCATGTAAAAGGCACATCTTTGGTGCCTGTCAATTTGAAGATAAACACACAAAGCAAAACCTAGACAAATATAACAAGATAACATGCTTAACAAGATTTGGTCAGCCTATCAAAACAAGCACAGATTCTGGTGAGTGGACATTTCTGGTATTTATTTGAGTTGATCATTAGGAACCCAGGACTTGAATGGATCTGCTCAGTCAGGTTCAGCAGATGAGCTTGTGGAAGCTGGTGGCTTGGCTGCAGGAATAGGGGCACCGCTCCAGAGTGTGCAGAACCCCACCAGGAAAACCACTGCAGCAGCAAGCTCCAGCTGATCACAGCAAATGTAAGGTGAAATTACTCCTTCTGTTATCTATGCGCAAAGTCTTTGACTTTAAAAAAGAAAAGAACCCAAACATATCTGCAGTGCTACAGACAAGTGTAGATGAAGTTCACAAAACAAAATTTAGCTTATATATATAGCATTTTTGTTGCAAGTGAATGAAAATTATGAGTAAGTCAAGCATCACAAGGTTCCTAAAACAAAGAAGATGAGTATAAAGGCACCTGCAAATTTAGTATTTTTAAAAATCCAGAATAAACTATTAAACCTTTCAAAATTTTCTCCCTACTGTTTTTTATCCTCTATTTTTTACTGTCTGTCCATGTGAAACTTGTCTTTCATATATCCTGAAATCACTATAGGTAAAATGTTTCTACTATTTCCTCTTGATAATTTTATGCTTTAAAGTAATCCCCTTGGAAAGGTGGGAGAAAAGGAAGTTTCTTAATGGGGAAATGAGTGCATCTGATGAACAGTGATTAGACAGTAAAGGAGAAGAAAAAAATAGAAAGAAAAACTATTTAGAAGGTAGTAGATTCATGCCTTGGTCTGGAGAGACCAGGCCATTCTTCAGAACACAGGTCATGAATATAGAAGGGAAAGCCTAAAGAAACATGCATGGAAAAATCACATGGAAAAATCAGCATGGAAAAATCACATCTAGGACAGGCTGTGCTGACTGACTCCTGCAGAGGGAATCTGCAGATAAGTAGTTCTGGCTGTCACAGATGTCCATGTCCATGTTACCACTGACACCACGGCAAAACAGTATCCAGAGTGACAAAATGAGA